GCTTGCTTTTATTTCTCTCATTGATATACATTGTGCACAGAGTATCTTGGGATAAGATTTTCAACTGCAGTGAAAGGTTTAATAGATTTTGTATTTTTGTATATCGGCGAGTATGTAGATCGGAACGAATCTCTCTAATAGATATCCGTAATTAACATGTCGGAGATATCTCTAATTGCAACTCATAAATTTGTCGGTGTTATCCGAGACTAGATGAAATCAATTAAGAGCGTCTTCGAGATGCCAAAAATGAATTCCAGAAATTGACCCTGATGAAAACTTCCGCCAACTGGGGTAATCGATAACACGCTCGAGGGAAATGTGATTCATTGCATGCCGCGAATGCGTCAGCTCCTCAGTTGAATTTCGTGAGGGGTTCCTGTTCCTAGCATTATTCAATCATTTAATTTACAACTGCGATGCAGTCACTACGCGTAATCAACATTACAAATAAAGTTCGCCTCGAGCAAGGACTATTACAACGTCGACGGTATATGCAAATGCGTCTGTCCATCATACATGGACTCGTAGGAGATCTGCAAGTACGAGGATAATGTTCATCGAACTTATATACATGGAATACCGGTTTTTTTCCGCGAAGTTTTACGCGTAAACGTGACTTCTGTCCTTTTTATTTTTTTTCGTACAGTTGCGTCACGCACCGAGAATATTTTATCACGACAATTGGGCACTTGCGAAACAGGCTTTAAAATGCTAACAACCTAAGGCCGCATTGCTATACGGATTCCTTGAATCGTAGTTTCCTTGACCTTAAAAAATCATCGCTCAACGAGCTTCGACCATCACCGCCGTTTCTGTTCGTAAAATTTCATCAAGATATTGCTGACCTTCGGATGCAATACGAATTATTTGCAGTACAAACAGTACAATCAAAATCAATTAAGATTCTGATGGGACTAAAATATTTAGAAGATCCTCATTTGTTATCCATGCAAACATTCACACTTTAGTGGTGAAATAAATTGTCTGAAGCGAAGCGATAAAATTGACAGAACGGAAATTTTAAAATGCGGAGAGGTCGCTAAATGATACAAAACCGGTCGAAAAAGATTTTACGTTTCCATATGAATGCCCTAGCGATAAGGCGGCTGCAATATCTATCTATCACTGTCAAGGGCACCTATGCAACCGGATCGTCTCTCCACAGTCATTGTTAAACTCATTTCCGTCGCTCGATTGCTCGTGAGTGCATTGAAAATTGAACCACCAGTTTACGGCCAGCAGGATCCCCTCATATCGTCGTAGACGCATGTACATTTATATCACACTCCGCCAGACTATGCTGCATATTTAAAAATAGATTTTTAATTTTTACGTCTATCCCGAGTGTCTGCAGCAATTTTAATTTCTCCTGTCAGTCAAAGGTTGGCAATCTCTTCGTGCATTTACGTTCAGTGAATACCTCGTTCCATTAGCTTTTTTCTTGTCTCATGCAAATTTGTCTGAATAATCGATTACGCCCGAAGCTTTGTATTTAATTCCGGAACGATTTATTCAGGCCGATTTAAAGGTCCTTCAGATTCAATTCAACGGATCCTCTACTTCAATCGCGATCCGCGAGATTGGAATAGTGCTCCTTGATCTCTATCATCGAGAATGCAGTTTTTCTAGCGCTCGCTTTCCACGAGTTTATTTCACACTGTTTCGGAATTGTTCTCTCCTTGAATTGTCATCAACTCTAAAGTATTATGTTCCTCATATGATACATAATGGAGTTATAAAAGCTTATCCTGTAAAGTTTGAAAAGAACACTCAAAACGCAATACAGGAAGCAACTATGACATTGAAGCGTAAATGTTCTAACGGTGTTGATCTTGTTGCTCTATCCATTACTCTACATGTAACGTTGGCCGCGAAACGAAATCATCTCGCGATTGTAGACAGATGATTCATTGCGGGAAGAGACGGATAAGCCAGGAGAAAAATAACACGACCGCTGCATGTTTCGATACGGCGCAGCCTGTTGAAAGTCTTGTTCCTTCTGTTTCTCACGGCCCAAAGACGCGTATAATCGATTTCGATCGAAAGATAGTCGGGGTGGCAAGATTAACGAGGCTACAGCTGTACGCGTTCTATGAATAATTACAAAGTCACTGTCGTATTGTATGTATTTACACGTTGACCTTATACCACTTTCTATCGTGCACGTTTCCAGGTACACACTCGAATTCCGACTCGTTGTAGCATTAAGCTCTACCCGCGCACCCACGCGGAGTCGTTTATCAAAATAGTTCTAATACCATGATGACGTTCAATGAATTGAACCGGGTTCAACGAGGACGAGCCGGACGAGAGAACTCTCGTCACTCCGGTGGAACTTGAAGACGAAATTATTCTGTAGACTATTTTTAGATGTTTCAATGATCATTAAGTCTTTGAAATATATCTACAATCAGATAACAGAATGTATCATATCTTCAATGCATATTTAGATGAAATCTGATGTGTATACCACTTTGGTATTCGGAACTCGTGGGTACTTAGGAAGAAAGATGCATCGATTGAGATGCAGAATGTGAGCAATTTTGAGCACGCCGTGAAGACGAGCAAAACGTGTCAGGCGTTGGAGCTCGGGTTTATCGAGATATAGAGGATCTTTCCAGCTGACGTGGCCCGCAGTCATATAGTGTGACCTCCGCCGGTCTACTTTACGAAGGTAAAAGCCTGAGTGGGGTTCGCGTACACCTTTTACCCTCTTGCTTGTTCCACGGTGTTCTGGAATACGTATTTACTCCATCCAAGGATCATAGAAGTATTAATACTGCTTCCAAGCGAAACGTTAGAATGTCCGATTAAATTCTTCCAATGCGTTAAGGTGGATTCGATGATCGTGAACCTTTACTGTGTAAACTTCCTCTCAGCATCCTAACTGCGTAAAGATGCGTCATTGCGTTCAAAGCGTTTTTTCTATACGTTAGGATTAGAGAAATTCAAATAGCGCCAACTGACGTACTTTATAATGGAATATTTCAGAAAGAATTTTATATAAGTTTATCATGGAAATAAAGTACTATTCCGACGCAGGTAGATTCTGCCCGGACATGAACGATCCACCTTTGCACAGTAAGGGTTAATAAAAATGAAAGTACTCTCTGCTAATAGAAAATGCGACTAACTAATGGGGTAGAGGATTCTCGATGATGTGAACCAGATTATGAAAATCAGAGCGAGCCACGTAGGTTAAAAGCTCGTTGCGGCGAGCGATAATGATGTCACTTTTATTAGTCTCATCAGGGTCGAAGCATTCTCGACAGGGGATCCACTATTACCTAATAACCGACACGATCATATCATGTATCTTGTTATACGGTGATAGTGGAATTTGCGTTCATCCATCCATCCATCGACAGCTCGTATACGTATTTTTAAAAATCCCACTCAGTTTATTAATAATCACACCTTCTGCTCCTCTCTTCTTCACGTCTTTATCTTGGCTTCGTCTTTCTTGCCCGAGGCTTATCGTAGCGTATCTTACGAGATGTTGCAATTTTAGTTATTATAATTTTAAACGATTTAATAGTATGAATAGTACTTTGTACTGTATTTATCTAAATTTCTGCATCGGGCGAGTCATCGCCGTAGGTGGAGTTATCTAGGTCGCCGCTTTGGAGCATCGATTTGTATTTCGTTTTATACCAGACCATGTATTCCATTGTAATGATTTTTTTTCGAGTACCGGTTTCGTACATTGGGTCACTCCTATTTCCGCAACGTTCTATATTCTATACACTGCTTTGACAATGCTCCGAACATCATAATAGAATCTACGTAAAAACTTGTTCCACTCTTTAAATATTCTCGCATGAAATCAAACTCTCCACTGATCAATTTAATGAGACTAACAGTGTCGAACGGTAAAGTGGACTTCCTTCTCGCATGTATACAATTTTTTATCAAGTCAGATCGTTTGCGTGTTAATATCAGGAGGATGTTGTTCATCAAACGCGCCTTGCGTATCGTAATTATCGTTTTTTAAACGTTGCACATCTTCATCTGAGCTAATCAAGCATGGATATTATTCGATCGTATGAACGTGCATTATCCTCGCTTCCGAGCAATGCCGATGTCGTAGAAATCAACCTCGTGCTCCAAAATGTCGACACAGATTGCAAATGATTTTAGACAAATTTAATAATATGTCTGATTTAGAAGCACAATCGTCAGTAGTTTTTACGGTTGCCAGACAGCGGCGTATGCCAAAAATTCAAACAGGTTACGTGAACGACCCGAGATCGTTCACGTTTTCCAACGAGCCGCGATTACATCACTTGCATTCATGATACTATAATATCGGTTGTTGTACTTTAAGGCTTAATGGAAGCGCATACATGACTCGTATAAGGCAAGGTGTACTATAACAGATATACGCAAATATCACGGGTGCAGGAAGTGCGCGTGTGCTAGGAAAATTTCCAAGTTCACCAGCGCAGCAGGCACCTCCATCGATCTGTCGGTGCGCGCGGTGCTATTGCTACATTTACGGCATTCACTTTTATTCGAGATTCAACGGGTACGGAGGTATTGACCCCTGAACTTGACCTATACCGATGGTATACCTGATCTCGAATACTGCCGTGAACCGATGAAAGTTTCCCTTCGTTTATTAGACAAAGACATCGGCCATTGCAGTGTGATTTGGTTTTCACGGTGTTCTATTGCGCCATGAAACACGCAACGTATTTTCGAGTCTATAATTTTACGGTTTCCCCTGCTACGATTCGGACATATCGATTGATATTTTAATTCAAACTGGAAATGAACTCCAGAATCTTCCCATTTCTCGTTTAAAACGATTCGTTCAAACTTGATTGTTGAAAGAATACACACTTTTCGTATTAGAATGATAGTTTCCTAGATGAAACGTAATTACGTTCGCACAATGAAATGAAGTCTTTCCTCGACGGTGACGAGACGACGCGTACATCTGATGAAACCACCCAGAGTTCGATAATCGTAGAGAAGGAAACAGTCGTACTTACTATTGCATTATCTTTAATCCAAATAATGCGAGCGTCCGAATACTGGCATCAAGGGGATTACGCGGTGATGGCACTAGGCGTCCCGTCCGTTGTGTTTTATTCTATACCGCGTTTTCCGTGAGAAACGATGTTACGAATTTCGCGTAATGTCAACGGCCCGGTGGTTCGTAATTAAAAATTGTGAACGAGCGCACTGCACAACCGGCAAACAAGCGGCAAGCCGAATAACTGACGCCAGCGCGAAGCGGAGCACCCACGGCCCACCGTGTGTCCCACCCTCCCTTCTTTCTATGCTCGCTTGCTTCTTCCTTCTCTCGCGCGGTCCTCGTTTATCTCCCGTTGCTTTCGCTTGCTCTCTTTCGTTCACACGGCAGCGTAAGCTTCGAAGCTACCTTGCCGTGGTGGTTCGAATAGCGCACTACTGGCGCGATGCCGCAACGCGTGCCTGCCTGGAGCACACTTTGAGACCGCGCGCGCCTCCCAGCTGCCGTATCGACCCCTCCCCATTGGATGACACATCCTCCAATAACGAACCTGGAAAAGGATTACGTCACTTTGGTATTATTGACGCCAACCATCCGGCAGCATCGCAGTGCTGGATTCTTCAGGGTGTATCTTCCCTGTAACGGGGGTTGTGAGAATTCTCAAGGGGTAGAGGCTCGCCACACGAAAGCCTCTCTCCTCGGATGTACTAGACTCGTACGTCGTCGCACAGAATCGCGCCTCTTAGTTAAACAGAGGATGCTTATGCCTACCAGCTCTGCACTGGTTCATCATGCCTTTCTAAGTTCTTTCCTGCCACACGAATTTCTGTGCAAATCGTCTGCGAGACGGTAACCGGCTCTGGCTGGGAGCCTTAACGTGTGCACTTTATAATTTCAATTGATTATCTTGCAAATTGTTGGATATTTAATTTTTCTGACCCTGTCTTTAAAATTATTCATTTATAGATTTGAGTTTTGATCGTGGAATGAAAATGTTTGCATTTAGATGGATACGTCACTGGGAAACACCCCAACTTTGCTGAATATATTTTCTTCTCTCTCTCGATGCATCCCCTTCCTTTGAGACTGCAACAGCTAAAATAAGCTTGGATAAAAATTGAAATTCTGATCGGGGAGTTCCATTCATTCTTTCCCCTCGGTCGATGTAAATTATTTATAAACTTATTTTGCGTAGATTCTGTTCAACGCATGTGAATCGCGCGTACGTGCCGCTCATGTAAATCAGTATTTATATTTACGTTAGACGAATTTTATAGACAGCCATTGACGTATTTGGGTTGCATATGACGTTTATTCTTATCGCAGATTGAAAGTAATTGGTGCTACCCTTCGGAGATACGAGTAATGCTTCTTAATTGATATGGCGCGTGCTCCGTTTCCGTCCGGCGTCGAATTTCATGTGTGCGCGCCAGTTCACGGGTGACAAAACGTTGAATACGGTGAATGCCGTCACCGAGTCGGAATTTAAATCCTGCGACAGTGTGACACTGTTAAGTAGATGCTCTCAACCCCTTGCCCGCTCTCTTTGCTGACTGGCCGACACGCCGGCCAACAGGGTCTCATTTCGAAATCTGCCTTCGCAAAATCAGTCGTTGAACCTTACCTTTGCCTCTTGTGCGGGTGCCAAGTACTCCGCAGTCGCGACATTCGTCTGAGGCCTCTGCCCGATTCAAGGCGTTTCCTGGTTTGTCTGAAAACGCGTCTTCCACGAATCTCTCTAATGCAAAGTGTTATCATTGCTTTCTTTCAAACACCCAAGTAATTAGTTTCTATAAATCTTCAAGCTTGCCTCGTGATAATTGAATACTTAATATTTTATATAACGCCGTTTAGAGTGAACTTTGAATAAAAACAAAAATCTAATTTCGAAATACAGGATCGTTACAAAATCAATGTTCAACACAGATAAGATGAATGTAGAAATCGTAGGTATGAAAAAAGTTGTTGAAGTGAAAAAACAGTTATCCTATAATAGAAAGCGATAGCACTTAAATCCCGTGTAAACTAAAACGAGGACCCCGAACTCACGCTTCGAGCAATGCTTAAACTAAGGAAAAGGAAGTGAAAGTATTAGGTCTGTCTATCCTCGTCTATTTTATATTACGTATAGGGCTGTATATGTCTGTAATAATGTCAGCATAAGCGAGGCAAAGAGCTACGAATTGCAGTTGAAAGGTCATATTCAGTGTAAGAGATATTCTACAGATAGTTATATAAAAATAATAATGCACTGCTCCGAATACCGTTGATATTAATAAATGTTTTTATGGCTGCTTTAAACTGTAGTATTGCAAGCACATTTCCAGTGTTTACTTTCTCCCGTATTATAGTATACGTAGTTCTTAACGCTTTAATTAAAAATACACACTTTTTTACTGCAGCATATAAAATGATCGAAGCAAATTGTTTAGCACTAATGTATTATAAAGTAGTGTACTATACGGTTGATATTAACAAGAAACTAGCAGGAACGAGATGCAATAAAAATCGAAACATGCGTAATACAATTTCGAATAAATATATTATTTAGTAATATGAGGATCACAAAGATGATCACTGTACCCACGTAAATCTCTTTCCTGTTGTGCGAGCGTGTCTCTTGAACGAATTAAACAGGTTCGAGTTCGCCGTTTGTGTGATATGTGCACGACGAAAATGAAAATTGACAAATGTAAAACGATGTTAATTTAATGACGCAGGATTGGAGGCTCTGGAAAAGGCTCTCTATTGCTGGGAGGATGCTCTTACAGCATTCAGCTGTTCACTCAATAATGACACACTCGCATTACCATCCAAGGCGGATGCAGCATTTACGCACGACGTACAAGAGCTTCTTGACATGGCTTATCAAATCCAAAGCCATGCAGAGCTCCTGTTCATCGATCAGGTGAGTCTATCACTCCTCGGTCTTTTCCTTTTTCTTAAACTCTGGACGTAGATGAAGTAATCGACCGACGCAGGAAATCGATTTTCCAACACACGTTCCTTTCAAACCAGAAACTACAGTTGTAAATATCATTTCTATTTAAGGAAACATGGATATAAATTTTACTTTCCCTTTGTCGAAATCTTTTCTTTATTATGCCCTGTAATTCCGTTCTATCGCAGTCGTCAATTACTTTTCTGCTGTATAAAAAGTATGGGAATTAATCCAATTTAAATGATAACCGAGGTAATTAGTACAATGAGTCACTTGACCTAACGCAAGAAGGAATTATTACATAGGAAGTTCACGGCACCGCGACTGCGGTCGTTCGAATCTAATTGTAAGCGCATATAAAACGTTTTTACTGCAAATGCACGTGATCGCTCGGTATAAATGTTATATATGAATAAAAAGACTTTGTCACATGCGATAAATCAATGTGTAAACTTAATAACATTAATTACTTTTTAATACGAAAAAATCTTATTTTTAAAGCATTCGGTGTTGTTCCGTAACGAAGACGAGGAGAGTGTAGATAGTCATAGGCCTTCGAATATAGGTAGTCGGATATCCGGTAAAGAGAAAGCGGACGCTGCGTCTTCTCCGGAATCTTTCGAATCTGCGCGCGATGGGGTGAGGAAACACTTTTTGTTCACACGTAATTGCGTACACGTTCAATTGCGAATAATAATATTAATTCAGGTGGCGGATTTGCGAGAATTCGAAGAATTTTCCGAGTTCTTTCCACATTTTGAAAAACAAAAACTTTATCACACTGCTCTCAAACAACACGAAGATCAAAGTATCCCTTGCAGGTGAATCTTTCTAGTCCATAAAAAGTATTGAAAGCCTTATAGAACTTATTACAATTTATATATCGATTATAGACGACTGCATACAGAGTTGGTAAAATGTGGTTCAGATGTAGAATATTTAGCTAAAGTGTATTGCCTACGGCAAGCGTATACAAAGTTGTTCACTGTACCTTCTACGACAGAGTGGATCGCGGACATAGGGCGACAAGTGATTAGCGATTTGATCATGTATGCAGACAGGGTATACACAACAAACATAATTTACTTCTGCTTGAGAATATGATACGTCTCAATGTGATTCAATTCGGTTATTAACAAATGCTTTCCTTTGCTAGGATCCTAAAGATTATTTGATGCATTACGAACGAATGCTGGAGTTTTTACAAGATCCAACTAATCATAGCATCATGGAAGAAGAGCTAACTGGAAGAGGTGTGAAGTGTATGAGCTTTTATGACATTCTGATTGATTTTATTCTATTAGATGCGTTCGAAGAAGTAGAGAAACCGCCTTCGTCGATCAAAGCTATTCTGCAGAATAGATGGATATCCGCCAGTTTCCGTGAAACTGTAGGTAACTAAAAAAGGATAAGTTTGTTTTTAATTTAATGACTTAATATTTGTTTCATGTTTAAGGCAATCGGAACTGCTGTATGGTCAGTTCTTATGGGTAAAAGACAGATGTTGAAGTATGACAAAGGATTCCTGGCACATTTCTACTCGATTTCTGAGCAGATCACACCCGTGCTTGTATGGGGATTTTTAGGTCCAGAGGGAAGTCTGCGCTCTACTTGCCATTATTTCAGAGATCAAGTAATCGAATTTCTTGTAGATATATTTAATTTCTTTAAAGTAAGATATACCACCGTCGATAATCTCGCCGAAGATGTACTCAGGGAAATGAAAATAAGAGTCGAGAATATTAACCAAAGGCTTTCTCTAGAAGGTTGCTAATCATATGCGAACTAATAGATACTATTTAATAGCATTAACGCAGGTATAACTGGATAAATGTGGGGATAGACGATGGTTTGACGTACTGTCTGTCATATAGATTTAGATGATTAATGATCTTTATTCTCTTTCTGCTTATTGCAAGTTGTCAGATTTTGTCCATACATAGTATAATTGTTATATGAGTATTATACAGAGTAATATTATGAGAACAATTCAGATTATGGCACTAGATATATTTTAAACGTTTGGATTTCACTTGAAAACAGTTTTATTTACATTGTTTCGTAAATGTCATTGGAAAGTGAACGTAAGAATAAGTTTTTACGCTATTTTATTTCTCATAACTTGTAGATAATTTGTAGATATTGCTACCTAGATATTACATTTTTTAAAGTATATTAAAATTTACACTTTTAGTACAAAGGTTTACTTATATCAAAGTGTTTAAATATCATTGTTTTGTAATAAAAACAAATTTTAATATATCGCTATTATTTCCATACTATAAAGTTTGTGTTAGATGTATGTGTAATGTGATGATCTGTGCTCATTAGCATTTAAAAAAGTTCCTCGTTGAGTGATAAAATACCATCGTGCTAGTTCCATGGCGCTAATAATAATGCGTTCATTAATCACGTATTAAATACATAGCCTACATTAAAACAGATTCTAAAAAATTGATTTCATGATCATGTCTCACTTGCATTATCTCTTCGATTACCATAAAATATTTAAAAATTGAAACTTTCTGCCAAAGATAAGAGCAATATTACTCATGGAAGCTTGTGTTCAGTCAATAGCTGTATTAATTGTGTCATGTGCATCCTGTATATTACAAATATAGATCGAAAACATTCCAAAAAAATATATGAGCCATACTTTACGAATTAATCGTGAACTTTAGTGCAGCAAGTTTTACATTGAAAAGTAAACAAATTGATTTGCCTCCTTCAATGTTAAACTTTATACTGTAAGCATAATAGAAAGCTTAGAACGCGATATTCTCCTTTAATCAAATTTGAGATACACCATTATTGTCAATCAGGAAGATACAGGATTCTTGTATTGAAATGATGACGTAATAGATATTGATTTATGTAAATGTTCTTAAGCATTTAATATTAAAGACATTTACATAAATATTAGTTCTTTCCTTTATTAAACTGTATATGCAGTTATACAGTATTTTGTCCATTTACCATTTTCTCTTTACTTTTATTTTTATATTTATGTGCCAGTACAAGTGAAGTCTTTATGTATAGTATATACTAAACTATTTGTTAAATATGTGTACTATTTTGATAAATTGAGAATAATGCTCAGAAAAATAAAACTGCTGTCAAATTTTAAATGGTACTTTGAACTGAAGTTTTATTGAATAAAAATTTACAATTTAATACAGAAATAATGCCAGAAATTTTTAATGAAAATGCTTAATCAAATATCATATCTACATCTTCATCATCAGATTCTGCCTCATCAGAAGATGGCACATCAGGCATTATATTAGTTATATTATTCCTAAGCTTGAACTGTGTAAAGCTTTCCCTTTCTGTGATAAAACAATTTTTATTAGATTCTGTATGATTTCATATAGAATAGTTAGATAGTGTTTTAAATAATGTTATGGTCAAACACTGATTATTAATATTTGTTCCTTTATGGTATAAGGAAATACATATATAACTTTTTAATAAAGAAAGTATTAGAGTTACCTTTTATAATACATTCGTCTGCGTGTATATGGTCTGTATCCACATTAATTAAAGGGTTCTTTGTCCTTTCAACATATAATCTTAACCATTTTATCCCTGCATTTGTGAAAATTATGAATAAGTAAAATTAAGAATTAAGTATACGATAAAAATATATAAATTAATGAGTATTTTACATCTCTGGGCCTTTTGAAGTGTGATTTTAATTTCCCTTCCTGTATTTCTGTGAGATGTTTTTTCCGCAAATACGACACCGAAAAGATACAGACACAGATAATAATTTTTTGAATTTACTTTCGTGCTAAAACACAATACATAAATATTAATTAGATGATTATAAATTAAAATATGTAATGAATATTAATAATTTTAGTTAAGGATACCTAAATAATAAATGATCACATTCAACTCGAAGATAGTACTTGTTTACGTCTGGCAATAGAATACGTATTATAACTGTAATATCTGTTTGATACCATAAAATGTTTGGTGAACTGCATTTAGTTACTAAGTTAGGAACGCTCATTATTTATTACTTATCTATTCAATATTTAATTGCTGTTTACTTTCACTGATTGGTATACAACGATATGACCCGTACGACAAGACTCAGGTAATCGTCCTCATCTCTGTTATAATATTTAAATGAAAAAGTATTTCTTTAAGTGACACCACGTGGTGTCAAAAGGCAGAAGAGGACAGGGAAGCATCATAGCGTCGTTTACGTAGATTGTCGAGGTTGAGTCAAGTTGAGTCGAGAGTTCGAGAGTTGGAACCTCGGAACTGCTCGGAATTTCGGAACACAGAACAACTCGGAACGGTTGGAACCGTTGGAACTGGTGGAACGTTTGCTTGTGCCCTGAACGAGTGTTCGTTACCCACAATTTTGAATTATAATCTCCATTTTATCAATATTTTACGTGGGAGCCATAGAGACTGAACGATCTATTTCGTTGTTCAGTGAACGAACTATCTTATTGCATTTTATTTAAATCAGTTTAGTTAACTTGCCCTTGTAACGGTCACAATGAAACCCGGAGGTGGGACGAAAGTTTCTGCCGCCAAAACCGCTGCATCTGAGGTTAGTGATAGAACATGACTTTTTATTATTTTCTAATAATTTCCGAAAGAATGATATCTTCATCGATTGTACCAGGATTGTCTTAAGATTATAACGTCTTCAAATTTTATTTATTTATCCGCAATGAACATTACCATACATTTCCTTCACAAAAGTACGAACAATTAACAAAAATAGATGTTTTGTTATCATAATATCAATTATCATCTCATTTATTATATCTATAGTATATTTTTTTGTACATATTTTGATTTTATATTCATGGTTCAAGCAATAACTGCATGTGAAGGCTTCATGGTACATCATACATTCTTATCTTTTATCGAAACAGGATAAGGTCAGAAAGTGTTTGCACGTTTTGCAGCCAGCAGCCACTGGCAAAGAAAACTTAGTTGGTGGTGGGAGGATGCTTAGATCTTCTTTAGCAGGAAAGGATGCAGTTAAAACGTAAGAAACTCTCAAAAATTAATTGCGACATGTACACAACTCAACATATATAAATTAATTTTATGATGTTTCAGAGAAGTGACTGAGAAAACGAAGAATGACGAGAAGCCAAAGCGTAAAAAGATAACATTCAAAGACAAAGCTGTTCAAACTGCAAGAGGAGGGAAGATTAAGATTGAAGTAGAAGATTTGACATCTGAAGGTACGTGACACAAAAAAATGAAGTTAATGAAGTATAAAATTTTTAATTTATTGCACAGCTGGGCCTAGCGAAAATTACTGGGAAGTGTTGGCTGAAAGACGACGGATAGCTCTTGAAGATGCCCTAGAGGATAACAAGGAATTGACGGAACGCGTGCATGCCTTACAGGAAGAAAATCGTATATACAAAGAAATGTTGGATGAATCAAGAGCACTAGTAGAAGTTTTACAAGAAATGCTTGGGGAAGATAGAAATGATATAAATAATTCCTTAGAAGACACCTTTTAATAGAATGTATCACGGTCGATTTTCACTAACTGGTGCCTTAAAACGAAGTACCGACTGGAGACAATATATATATTTTACTGATCACCCAGCAGTACGATAAAAAAGTCTGAGTAAAGTTACAATCATTTAAAAGAAATAAGAATATTACTATTTAGTTTTAATTCAATTTAATCACGCGCGACTACGTGTACGATTGTTCATCTGATTAAATGATCATTTAAAGGTATGAATGAGACAGGATATATTTCTCAGAGTGTATTTTATACTTAATGTAATATAAATATGTATATCTTTGAATACAACTAATAAATCGGTTTCGTAATAAATCATTTAATTCTTTTACAATTTGATCTCTGGGAAATAATGTCGTCAATCAAGAAGGATGCTAGCATCACGTGTTTATTTCACAAATCTTTGGCATAAAAGACCTTGAATTCCATTGAAAACATTTAACGCTACAGCATCAGTATCTTTGGCAACGACAGTTTGCGTTTCTTGTTTTGTGCACCAGCCGGAGCACTACGTGTTCGTGGAAACCGTTTCATCTACATACTGCGTTGTCAGATGATTATACGTTTGTCGGAAAGGTGCCAGGGAAAGTTGTGCATGAAAATGTTGCTGGACGCGAGACACGCAAAAGCTAACTCTTTTTTTCTATTTCTTCGCTGCTTCTAATTTCCCAGTTCTCTCTTATGTTTTTCACGTGTTTCCAATCTCGTGTTTGGAGAATGCGCCGTATCCTTGATGATCATCTGGAACGGATAGCGATAGAACTGTCCCGCGATTCGTGGACCACGGGATGCGGTTGAATATCGAGTTTGGTACTGCTGAACGCCGTCGAGGAGCGTTGAAAAACTTGCATCCTTTAATCTTCGTCCTTGAAACGGCGATAAATGGATTGCACGTAGGTGAAGACGCATTTCCAATCCGGGCGACGCATCATCACCATATCCTCGACGTCAAGTAACGGCGCGATCCCGGCAAGTTCGCTAGAATCGATTAATTTGATTTTCATTAACAGTGACTGAAGTCCTCATAAAAATGAATGATCTCAGATTTTCTATTATGTATTATAAAAATTAATGAGACACAATATTTTGTATTTTGTAAAGACAAATGGATAATTGATCGTTAAAGCTCACTCGGCTTTTTTAAACGCCAGCTCGAAGTTCATCTTGCGGTTCTCCGGTCGTAGCGAGTTATAATCAAAAGCGTCTGGTCTGAAATGATGAAGCAGAGCGCAGAACGCTAGCCCGTCGTTCCAGCTAGTCGAGAAATTGTCCAGTTGTACATTCTGTAACAGGAAATTGCCAAGTTCGGCCAATTCTCGCGTACACGCAATTTTCTCAAAGCACTCGCAAGAGACAGGAGCTTCGTCTATAAACGGATTTTACCTCGTACTCCTTAGTCTTGGAACGGCACCACGCTAGTAGTCTTTCTTTTATTTGTACCGCGCTGTCCCGCACTGATGGGTCGGTAAACTTGAACCGAAACTCTGTTGCCGGCGACTTTACGGGACTATAACTAAATATAGGAAGAAGAAGCTGCCAGTTTTAAGCTTTCGAAGAAACGAAAAGTGCGTATATGCGTAGAAATATTATTACTACAAAGCACAATTTGAAACAATTGAATTGGTGATCGAACATGACCTTTATTGGATAAATTAATCTTGTATATGATACAACTCAGGCGTTAACTGTTAGAAAATATTTTTTTAAATAAATGACCGCTCGTAAAAAGCGTTTTCAATTACCTGGGTGACGAAGCGGTACTATTTTGTCTATCGAGTTCACGAAACTTGGCAAACGGCGATAGGGGCTTCTTGCGGGCTGAAAAACGAATAGAACGATCTATAAATAAAATTAAACAATCGTCAACGTCATCGCAAAACGTTAGGGTTCATTGAAACTCATACGACCATCTCGTCAATGTTACAGTCCAATTAAAAAGAAAAAGTTTGTGAATGAAAATCGCTGCGTATGTGAGAATTATTAGAGGGATTTGGCAAATTCAACAAAAAACTAAAAGAAAAAAGGGATAAATAAAAAGTAACGAAAACTTTCGTTTCTCAACCTCGTCGTCGTTTCTCGATCAGAATTCTTTTCGCTTATCCTCTTTCAAATTTGAAAAAAAACAGGGGATCACTGCGTGCCGTGTTACGACACGTGATCGACATTAAAATCATCTTGCATTTCTAATTTCGTGATCCGAGTCGCAACGAGGCGATGACGAAATCGCTCCAACAACAAGAAACACGTGGAGCTGGATCTAAAGCTAAAAAGATCTCTAATCTAACTAAAGTGTTGTGTGTGTACCTTCCGCGCTCGTGTTCGGCTGTGTGGATCGTTTGGTAATCGAACTGAAATAAAATCGACACACAGACGCACCTTTAACCGACACGTGCGTGGGCGTTGTATATTTATACTAGAATATTTACGCGATATATTTTTTTATGCGAAAATGTGAAAATTTAAGTCGCCAGGAATGATTCTTCATTGATTCCGCGAATAAAGACTTGGAAACTTGGCTGGCGCGTCTCTCTCTGTACGTTTACCATCTCCAAATAAATGCACGTGTACGAAATGCGCTATTTTTGCGTCGATAGAGGACGAATCGTTTCTCCTTCGATCGAGCAGCTGATCGAAAATCCATAGACTCAAGACATTTGTAAACTTTACTCTAAATGTTACTGAGTCAAAACTTAGCTATTACTGTATTCGGTAAATGCTGTTATTTCGTAATACATGTTTTTACTAATACTTTAAGGAATCCTAGCAACTTAACTCGTAATCGAACGGATTAGTAGGTGAGATAGGAAAGCATGTCGGGCTGTTAATAAAGTGAATTTTAAATCGCATATGATTTTGCGCTCTGTTAACGCGGCAATCAGCGCGATACCGATACCATTCTCCATTTCCGCCAAGAATCCAAGCATCGAATAAAGGAAATGAATTGCGCGTAAATTCTTACTTCCTGTAAATATTTGCAATCTAGACTATTGTAAGCGCCATAAGTTTGCTTTAGAATCATTAGTTTCAAACAGTTTTAAATCGAATGTGTATGTATGACCGCTTATTTGCCGAAGAACATTGTCCAAATGTCTAAACTCCAATTCTCGTAAAATAACTTTCGTTTCTAAGCATAAGTTTTCGGCGACTCTAATTATTTCAAATGAAAATGGTATCTGAATGATGGTGACTCCTGCTGGATATTAATACCCAACAGGGGAAGCAAACAGACCACAACGGGTAGGGAAGTAAAAGTGGACTCGAACACTCAGACAACGTCCTCCCTGTTTTGCGCTCTCTACTGCGTCTAGAGATGCGTGTACGTCTGTATTCTGTATGTATATATATGTACTAACTAATATGTATATGCTACTCTTCAAACTTTCGTGCACAGTCCAGCTCTGGTGCAAGCTAAACGCTACTGCGCGGCAAAAAAGGATCAACAAAGAGAGAAGGGCTGTGACTCACTGCTTTATTCGGGCTTTGGCACGACCTTCTTAGCGACTCTGAACCGTCCGTCCGCAAAACGTGTTCGCGGCTCGAGGCTTATTAAGGGAAGAAGAAAATAAAAAAGGAAAAGAGAAACATACAAAAAAAGGCACGCGGGGTGCTTTCCTCGACGTGAAAAATAAGAGGGAGACTTTCTTCACGAGAGAAACCCCATTTCCCGTGCGCACGCGAGCAACGTTCAATTTTCTTCAGTGCGTACTACGTAGAATAAACTCCCTTTCAACACTCTTTTCCACGAATTATTTTATTATTATTTAATAAAAAAAAACGGTTTCAATGGGAAAAAGAATGTCAGAAGGGAGTTTTCTGCGTTTCACTTCAGCTTTCCTCAGTTTTAAGATATGCTATCTTTCTCTCACTTTACTCGGGCTCCTTTTCGCGTGCAGATCGCAACATTTATTCACCAGTTCTTCCCTTCACTGTTTCTTCTAATCTTTTAACACGAACACTTCGAAGCGTCGCGTCCAGACAATTGTTCACATCGACAAATCGTTTCGATTGGAACACGTATCACCAGGAGCGAAGGGTGAGTATAATTATATCAACAATTACAACAACCGTCGTCCCGGCTGAAGATATCCCAGCGAAGAAAATCCAACACGCGCGATCGAATCCTCGAATACACGCCGCGTTAAACAAAGAATGCGATCGTTGGACGATCTAATGATTATCGGTTCTGGTGGCTTCCTCGAATAGGTCATCGAACACTTTGTCGACGTCAGCCGTGTTCACGTTCAGCAACGGCACTTGTTGTGGTTCCGGTATCAGCAAATGTAACTTCTCATCGGCCAGTCCGGGCATGGTGCGACTACGCGACAATCCGACCATCCCCTTGACCGCGAACCTGGACGATCGCCTATGTTTCGTCATCTCTTTCGTTTCAACCGATTCCGAAGGCTGATCGAAATATTGTCGAATTTTGTCTTCCATCTTCTTCACGCTGTCCGCCATAGACGAGGCCTCAAATTGCTTTGAACGCAATTTCTGAGAGAAAGGGGACCTAGGCTTCGGTGGTTTCGGATGAGAACGAGGTATTGGAGGCGATGGCTGAGCGCGAGGAGTTCGCGAGGAATTAGTGGCCGCCAGTTGATGCCAGGACTCCGACTTCGAGAGCACTATGGATCTCGTGGGTTTCGTTGTGCATGATACTAAATACTCGTCGCTAGAATCGATTGGACCACTTCCGTTCGGAATCGGTGAACGCTCCTTATGAATCGGTTTCGGTGGAGCGCTTGGCGTCTGCTCGTAAGCTTCTCTCAGAGCAGTTACTCTGTTCACTGGCATTGTACCTGGCGAAGGGGACTTTTCTTTTTTCTGAGGAGCAGGTGCTAAATGTTTAGGAAATCTGTTTGATGCTTGACTCACGCTCGACGATTGTTCTAAGTTCGTAGGATGACTGTGACTCTGTTGTCGATAGCTCGGTGGAGGTTTATTGTAATTTTGCTGCCCGTAGCTGGGGACACTCGGAATTTGACTATAGCTTTGATCACTTGGTGTACTGCTCTGTGATTGATTGAAACTACGTTGATGATAGTTTGGTGTAACATTCTGAGATTGACTGTACTGACTTTGACCGATATTAGAAGATTGATTTATTAAGTGCTTGGGCTGATTTTGAACTGTCAGATGTTGTCCTAAATTGTAATCCTGGTACTGATTAGGCTCGTTCAATGAAGTGATTTCATTTTGTAGACGACGAACCAAGCTTTGTTGCAGCAAGTTGTGTCGTCGAATCTCTTCCTCCGAGGTAACAGTTTCATTGGTCGGTGGTCTTGATCTGGACCAGGACCACTGCGAGGGAGATGGCGACGGCGACGACGAAGTCCTGGAGTCCGCTACCACTTCCTCGGAACGGGGTTCAGGACTGTCCACCGATGCCACGGTTGCAATGGCGCACGTATATCGTGTAACAACGCCAACTTCTGGACTGATGTCTTGATTTTGTATATGCTGATCGTCCAGAAAATCGGAATTTTCCGTAGGCCAATCAATGACACTTAGCTCTGGAGTTTCCAACACTTCGTCGGATTGGTTGTAATTAGAGAAAGCAGGAGAGACGAAGGAAGATGGATAATCCTGGTTGTCAGTGTCTTTAGACAGATAATTCTTTTTTTGAAGTAGCTCTGATTCTCTGAAACTATGTTCGCTGCTATTCTGATGAACACTTGGAGTCGTTATAGCAGCAGAGACATAGGAGGAAGAATAGTTTTGGTTGTTAGTATCTTCAGATAAGTAATTTTCTGTAGGATTTCTTTGAAGCAATCCTGACGGCCTATAATCTTGTTCATTGCTAATCTGACGTATACCTGAAGCTATAGGAAGAGGAGAGACGAACGAAGAAGAATAATTTTGATTGTCAGTATCTTCAGACAAATAATTCTTTCCATCAAACGATTCCTGCTCCCGGAAATCCTGTTCATTAGTCGTATGACGCGCGCCCGTAGCTATCCCAGGACTGCCGAAGTCCGAATCATTAGACACAGTTCGGTAATTCTGATTGTGATCCAAAACAAACCTCTGTCCGTTTTCAGTCTGATCCGAGTCAGATTGTTCATAATAAAGCGGTTTCCACTGTTTCGTAGTTCCTTTATCCAAATCACTTGCAGTCTGCACAGCAGCGTTGCTACAAATCGGGTTCTGTTTTCTCGACATTTTAGGTGTAACTTTGAACGATCTTCCCTCGTCCTGGTGATCGTCGATTCCGGTTTGAACGGCCACGGAAGAACTGCCTCTCAGCATAGCATCGGCATAAATATTTTCTATGTGTTCTGTTCCACTTTTCATTCCCATTTTCTCCTTGGAGTCACGACGTCCCGTCGGGGGATAGATGCGTTTGTCCGCCACTACTTTGAAGGAAATTTTACCGTCCACCACTCCGGGAACTCGTTGTTGTATATCGGGCTTCTTGGATTGCATGGGGGGAGCTTTACCAACGAATGGCGCGAACTGTTTGCAGAAGGATCGATAGTCCAATTTACCATTTTCTGTGACCGTGTCATTAGTCCTGTTTTCGTTCCGCTCGATCCACGGTGGCCGTGGAAAACTAGGCTTCTCATCGGACCTGAGGGATTTGGTGTTCTCTTTGTCGAACATCATCCGTGCTTTCTCTTTCAACGGCATCGGTGCTTTATTTGGCCAGTGATACGAGGGAGGCACCTTCGAAGGAGACACCGGGGACGGTTTCTCGATTTTACGGAAAGGGGACGATGATGCGTGTCTGAAACCCACGGACGTTACTTGAGGAACGTAATTTTGGGTAGGATAAACTTGAGCTTGCGGCGCACCGAATATTTTATTGGCACGAGTCTTCAGGGACGGTTTATTTTCCTCGGTTGTAGGCTGTTTATCGAAATTCGTTTTTAAGTTCGAGAACTTACTGTTCCAATTCTCGTTAGTCACCGACGACATGTCCATGGTTCTTGTCAACGGCGCCTGTCCAAGAGTTTTAAATGGCACTACCGGAGCCACCGCCGGTGATTCGTTATTTTTATTGATCAGAGCTAGAAATTTTCTATCGTTCTCGGTTTTCGGTTGAAACGCAGGCACGATTACACTCGCGGAATTATAAGCCTTGTCCCCAACGTTAATCGGTCTTCTCAACGAGACGCAGCCCGTGGTCTCGTGGCCGAGAGTCTGTGCCTGAAGCTTCAAGTAACTGGGTATGTCGATAGTGTTCGCGCGTTTTATCTTCGACTTCTTCGCACTGAATTTGTTGCCCACGTATTTCGCACCAGAAGTCGCCAGCTCGGCTCGTTGCCTAAGAGCAGCCGCCAATTGGCTTACGCGACTCCTCTCCTCGTTATCTTCGATACAGTTCTCATTACTATACTCTTTGCTTTGGTAATTATTTTTATATGAAACCTGGTACATACTCGAATCACCACCAATTTCGCAGTCTTTCACGTCCACCTGTTGTATACCACGAAACACACAACTGTCCCTGACCTCCTTGTTCTTGTCCTCCAACAATTGACGCTGATTTATAGCATCCTTAGTACACTTATCTCGGATCTCCTCCGATTTCTTCTCTACTGCATTCTCACCCCGTTCTTTCTGTTCCTTCACTAAAACCGCGACGTCCTTCAAAGGTACAATGTTTCTCTCCACTTCCAACCACTTCCTAGCTTTGGCCAACTCCTCTGTAGAAACCCCTATCGTGTGCCTGGTTCCCCTTCGTCTCCGACTGAGGGACGTCGAAGGCAATACTGCAGGTACCTTTTCACAGGTACTCGCCTGTTCAGATACTTGGAGCCTGGATAATAAACTAGACACCAATCTTAATAATTGCAATTTGCTCGTCGGGTCAGACGCAGCGCCCACAGCAGTCACGTCGATTTTTTGCAAAGTCTCCCGAAGACGCGATAGAGCAGTCTGTATGTCGGAGAGCAACAGATCCTCGAGGAACTTGAGGTCTTTCTTGAGTTCAGGTTCGTTGCAACTGCCCAACGCCTGTTCCATGGAATTGCGTATACGGAAGTCCTCTTCGGAGTCGACGCCTGAGTCCTCCGGGAGCTGCTCGCCTGCGCCGTTCTCGCGACGACGACCCCCTAGGGAGAGCTCGAGCGCGGCGCGTAGACGCTCTACCAGTAGCGGCAATGAATTCCACTCACCGACTGGCGCGTTCTCGTTCCGTCCATCGATGATACCTGGTGACGAAGTGGCCCCGGTTCCCCTCGCGCTCTCTTCTCGTCGCTCGACGCCTCTTTCGTCGTGGTCGTTGTTGTCACTGGTTCCCGTGCGCGAACCCGCTGAAAAAGAAACGACAACAGACCGGCGTTGAACCTAAGACGCAGGTACGACTGCAAGAAATTGCGAACGCAGGAATATTTTCACCCTTCCGTCGCTTTTCCTTCCGAGAAATTCTTTTCTCGTTTTCTGATCGGTTACGACGTTACGATGTCGATTTTTCTATTCTACGTTGTGTCGGTTTATTTCTATTACTGGTCTCTCAGTGAATAATTCGATGTGTGTTGACTTATGACAGAGTAGAATTTCTTAATGAATAGATCGAGTTGACGTTGTCTTTGTATAGTCTTCGGAGTCGAGTTAAAATAAGTTGGTAACCTGACGATGTTGGCTCGAGGGCGCAGGACTATTGGATAACTAAGTATCAATTCCTTCTCTTTAAAATCACAATCGACAATTTGATTCGTATTGCAATAGGAGCAAAATATCTTTCTTTTTTTTGGGGTGGTGGGGGTGGGGAATTGGATTCAGATCTCTCTTTCTAATGTTCGTGAAAACGTAAGTACGGTCGGCTCGAGAGACGCAATAAGAGAGAAGCGTGGAACGCGTTTTCGCGAGGAGGAACCCGCTCAGCTTGACCGGCAGTCGCACTCGCTTTATTTAAAAGCCACGGGATTCTCCGCGGTGGATTTATTTTCGGTCGCTCTCTCGTTCAACGCCTCGCGGCTGCCCACCGGAGGCGAGAACGCCGCGACGCTGTATACAAGAAGAGCGGCGCCGGCTTCAGTTCGAATCGACGTTTCATTTCTCAGATTTTTAATAATATTAAACAATGATTCAAGAAGATGGAAAGCCCACAGTGTTATAGCGTTATGTACATGTGGTGTGCAAATTAACCGTACATATATTATCTGTACATACATTGTGTTGAATGAAATTTCGGGTCAAACCAGGCAAGATCTGGACGATTAAAATAAAAATTGGACAGCGGTCCGATCAGAAATAATATTTCAGGGGAACTTCACACGCAATTAAGGCCATGAAACGTAGAGCTAGATTCGTACGGTCTGTCCTCAAATTACTATACGTCACGAACCTGCGTGCGTGGTCTCTCTCTTCTCTTCGAACGACTTCCTCTCGTTCTCCAGAAATGCCTCTTTCTCTTTCTCCTCTTTGCACAGTCCCTCTTTAGTCTCTTCTGGATATTCTTTTGCGGTCTCCTTCGGGATGTCCTCGTAGGTATCCAGATAGTCTATCGAACTCGATCTTCCACTTCCAGCGTCGACGGTTCTCTGGAAATCATTGCTGCCCGCTACCGTTCGTACATCTGGAATAATTCCAGTTATATGGAAGTGGGTAACAACGAAAATGAAACTCAGGCTGAAGTTAATAAGAATTTATTAAAAAAATGTAACCCCCTATAACTGTAAGTAGAACTTGTAAATCCTGGGAAAGAAAGGACAAGTTCAATTAAAATTTTATTTTAGTTCATTCTGAATAGGAAAACGTAAAGTATAAGATAGTAAGAGGACGTTATAGGGGGTTGGTTAATAAATGTTGTTACCCAGGTAATGTTTATCAAGACGGAAGCGTTCCGATAATGATTGATTAATAATTCTGGCTCGCGCTTCCGCTCGTACATACATAATGATCGTGTACCGATTAATCAGTTTTTTTAGTGAAAGACGTCCTGTTCTTTTATGTTACACGCACAGGCAACACAGCTACGGTTACATCGCAGAAAGATGTACGTTTTCTTTTTCTATTTTATTTTCTTTTTTTAGTAGTCACGTGCAGTGAGCGTCCTCAAGTTCTTGAACGTGATAGAGAAGGAAAATGGAGAGAGTCAGAGATTTCAGTGATGACAGAAATGAAAAGAGAAGGAGTTTTCGTTAATGAATGGTTACGTTCGGTAGTAATAATACAGATTGCTCGTACGTCGTTTTCAGATCACGATTATCGTACATTTTTCCCTGATTTCTCGTCGACCAATCGCTCGTGATCATTATCTTTATCATATACGATTAATCCCTAGGCCAGAGATACATTTCAAAGAACATCGTGACGCCAGCTCGTAAAGTAGACCTCACCTTCCGCCTCCGACATTTTGATCCTCTGGATCTTCGTCTGGCTGCCTGGAAAGTAAAACACATCATGTTTCAACAAACCTGTCGATTTCTTACATGGCTGTTCACAAACGAAAAACAAATTCAAGGATCAATAAACATTGTTGTTGCTTTTTAATGCCAGATTTCATTTCCTGTGTCATCTTTCATTATCATTTCCGAATAAAAAATATTATTTATCAATAAAAATTGCTACCGTTTATGTATTGCGACATTGAGCCAATTCCGCTTTGGTTTACGCGAATAATCAACGCGTTTTTAGGTTTCCTGAATTCGTCGCGGCGTTTCTCCGAAAAGCGATAGGGGAACGTTAAACCGACCGACTCTAGGTCTAGCCTGGTGCATTTCTCGATGCCAGGGAAGCGTTGGCGGCTGTTTCGTACACGGACTCTTGCGCGAAAATAACTCTGACCCGTTTTCGTGGATATGGAAACTAGAAAGCTTTGCTCGTCTAATAAGAAAATTAGATTAATTTTGATAAAAACTATTGAAAAAATTCTGTAGAACAGAAAAGTTAAAAATTTTTACATGAAAATTGTAGATCTCGTCG